TCCATCGACGTCTTCACTGGGGAACGGGTAGTCGTTGTGGGCTGGTGTCGAGAGGGGACATTGACTCCGTGGAAAGGTCGGCTTCTTTCCACACTCCTTAATTTTGTCCCCAAGTTCTCCGATACCGGTATGATCTCCACAGTCTTCTGTTTCTTCTGGATTCCCTCCTGAAAGTTCTCGAAGGCTCTAGCCCCTCGAGAATCATAAGTTTTCATTAAAGCATCTTTATGAAAAACTTAAAGGAATCCTTATAATTTCTTGGGTCTCCTAGGAGTTTTCCCGTCTTGGCAAAGTCCTTTTTCGCGGAGGCAGTTTTTTCGCGGCGATTTTCCCTGGCGAAGACCAGTCGTGGGGTGGAGATTTTCCCCCATCATTTCCTCCTGCGCGCGTCGAATGAGCTTCGTCGAAGTTTTTTATTTTCGAAATTCCGCGACCTTTTTCGGATCTTTTCATTTTCACCAGCTAGATCCGCAATCACTGGCGATTCTCATTTTTTGTCTTCTGATTGGCTGAAGAATTTCCGCCACTGTTGCGTGCCCGATAATCTGCACGTGTGGCTTTCATTTTGTTGCGGTCGAAGATTCGATGACCCGGCACCCCGCAAAAGTCACACGTGAAATTGGTGTTTTTCAGACGTGGCAGCCCATCAAACCTGTCCATTTCCATCGGGTTGGCGAATGTGGGGTGAGCCGAGCGGTCACCCTGTCGTGTACTGCCGACGTGCGCCCATCATGTCCCGGCGTTGACCATGTCAAACTGCTCTGCTGCCGATACGACGTCACTGTAGTTCGCGTAATTTGTCACTGCTACCTGCCGTTTGACTTCGGTCTTCAGCCCGGCGAGATACGACTGTAATTTTTCCCCTTCGTTCCGGTCAGGAATGCAGTTATAAAATTCCTCCATCTGCTGCGAGTACTGTTGTACACTCTCGAACTCTCGATGGCGATGATTTTTTTCCCGGGCAAGGAAATCGGAATTTATTGGCTCGAAACGTTTCAGCAGGTAGATGCGAAATTGCTGCCACGTGGCTTCACCGTGGATGAAGGTACTGTTGCCGCTGATCCACTCAAGTGCCGGCCCTCGCATCAGTGTCGCTGCGAGTCGTACGCGTTGACCGTCCCAGACTTGCGAGCTCCATCCGAGGGCTGCGAAGTAGACCTCCAAGCCAGCGATCCATCTGCGGACGTCGGAATTTCAATCGCTCGGATCGAACGCTTCAGGTGGGCGCGGCTTCGGAGCCTCGAGAAACTGCTGCATCCGCTGCATCGTCGTCGTTGTCGTTTCGTGTTGCGCGCCGGCGAGTCGAGTAACTCGCTCGAACTCGTTTCGTCAAGCTTCGCGGTCGGCTCGCATCTCCTCCTGGAGGGCGGTGATGCGCGCGAAGAGCTGTTGGGTAACCTCGGTGTTGTCGAAGTGCACCATCCTGTTCAAAACACGCGCGGGAGGGGGTAATTCAAAAAACGCGGAGCAGGTGCTTACCAGAATCGGCGCCGAATTAGTCGCCCCCGCAGTTTTTCGAGGCAGGTTTCCCGCTGCTGCTGCTTAACTGGGCGCGGCCGAATGAGATAAGCTCTGATTACCAAATGTCACAGGATCGATTGTGTCGAGTAAAAATTGCACTATCGATTGGTACAAGGCGCTTTTATACTTCCAAGGTACATCAGGTAAACAGGTTTATCCTATCCAAAAATAATAGACCCTTCTAGAAATTGAATCACCTTTCGCATAGCCACGCGAGGCTATTGGCTTTAAGGGATTACAACATGATTACGGTAGATATAGCGCGCCAGTACATCCCCAGCCTGGTCGATGATATAATCATAATAACAGAATAAACCAAAGGGTGATGGAAAGTGAGGAATGCGAAACCAAAGGAGATGAGAAAAAGGCCAAATGAATCAGGATTAAAAAAGGAGAGAGGAAAATATGGAAATGAGAAGTGTAACGGGGTCTTACTCTCACAAGCAGGGTGAAGACTCAGAAAGTAGTCGCGGGCAGTGGCAAGGCGGTCAGGGAGGCGAGTGGCCAGGAGGTAAAGGGTAGCGCAGATGGGGGGCGGGAACATAGCAAGCTGGGCCTCAGTGCTAGCAGCACGCCAACTTGCCTCTAGGGTGTGCAGGCGAGTGGCCAGGTCAGCGACGGTGGGGAAGGACGCGAGGTTAGGGAAGAGCATGGGGAGGATCAAGCGGCCGACAGAGGCAGAGGAAGGGGTGGAGTAGCGCGCGACAACAGCCTCATATAGGGGACTGACGTAGTCCTGAATGACGTAAAGCGAGGACGCTCATACAGGGGAAGGGCATGACTGATAGCGAGTTGCGCTACGGCATCACGCGACTGCCAGACAGCACGTGCAAGCGCAGCAACGGCAAAGGACTGACGGTCAGCAAACGTAGGCTCAGCGGAGAGTGCAGCAAGCGGGTCAGGACAGGGGAGCGTACCGTCAACGTGTTCAGCCAGGGAGTGGCTGTCCTGCCTCTGACCTGTAAGGTAATGGTGGAGATCAACGAGCCATGCCTCGAACTCAACCGCCTGCCCCTTCGTGTCCAGGCGCAGCACCGACTCCGCCATCAAAGCTTCTACAGCAGCTGACCGGCAATGAAGTGGGCTAGATGGGCGCGATGGGCCAGCAGGACGCGGAACGGGCTGGCGGGGCACTAAGGGTCAGCGGGGCACGACGGGCCATAGGGGCGCAAAATGGGCTAGCGGGGCGCGGTGGGCCAGCGGGGCGCGAACCAGTCTGGCAGGGGGCTAAGGGCCAGTGGGGCTCGAAGGGCCAGCAGGGGCGCGAAGTGGGCTAGCAGGGCACGGTGGGCCAGCAGGACGCGAAACGGGCTGGCAGGGCGCTAAGGGCCAGCGGGGCACGCTGGGCCCGAGGGGCGCGAAGTGGGCTAGCGGGGCGCGATGGGCCAGCGGGGCGTGAAACGGGCTGGCAGGGGGCTAAGGGCCAGCGGGCCACGAAGGGCCAGCAGGGCACAAAGCGCCAGCGGGGCGCGAAGTGAGCTAGCAGGGCGCAAAGGGCCAATGAGGCACGAAAGGGCCAACGGGGCGCGAAACGGGCTAGCGGGGCACGATGTGCCAGCAGGGCGTGAAACGAGTAGCGCGGCGCGAGGGCTAGGGCTAGGGCGGAAGCTGGCGGGCGAACCTACACTAAGGTGATACCATCTTAAATAGTAGAAAGAATGGTTAGAAAGAACAGTACAAGCGAGATATACCTTGTGTGTTGTACTCCCTAAAGCATGTCCCTATCTAGGCTACTATATCATATACAAATATGTTTGACATTGTATTATTGAACTAAATACGATAGGTAGGAAGAGAAGACACCATGAATGGCGAGAGGTTTTAGGCTAGGAGAAAGTTAACGAGAGAAAAGAAGTCGAGAATAGAAGAGAGGGATACAAGGAGGGGGTTGTACCCTCTATGGTAGGTTTCAGTAACACCTACCAAGCCTACCAAATTTAACACACCCCCTAGGCTTGGTAGCCGAAAGCACACCACACATGGGACCCTAAGCCACACACACCCCCTAAATCTAGCACCCCCATACTCAGTAGCAGCGACGACTACACCAGCCCGGTCAACCCCTCGGCGCGTGAGGCGGCGACGTCGACAGCAAGGGTTGCGGTGGCGACGGCGGCAGCGTCGACAGCGGCGGCCGCGGCGGCTTCGATAACAACGGCGGCCGCGGGGCTCGCAGCACTCGGCGGCGTGTCTGGGGTCCGCGACGGTGGGACGGCCAGCGGGAGTCGGCCGTCGGCTGCGGCGAGGAAGGGGGGCGGCTCATCTGAAACACGCCCGTGGCTGTCGTGCGGGCGTAAAAACCGGCGGCGCCTAAAACGTCACGCGGCCCGCTGCCGCCCGTCGACGCCGCCACTGCAGCATAACGCCGCCTCCACAGCGCGGCGTCGATGCCATGGCGGTACGTCGATGCTGCGACGGCAGCACGATGCCGTCGCCGCGGTGTGGCGTCGACGTCACGCGTCGGAGCTGCGACGGCAGCACCACGACGCCGTCACTGCAGCGCAGCATGGCCGTGACAGCGGCACGAAAGTAGCGGGAATGACGACTGAAGTGCAAGTACGCGGCGGAAGCGTGGGGAGCAGGCTCGGGAAGGGCAACCTGCTCTGTTACCATGTTGAACTAAATACGCTAGGTAGGACGAGAAGCCACCATGAATGGCGAGATGTTTTAGGCTATGAGAAAGTTAACGAGAGAAAAGAGGTTGAGAATAGAAAAGAGAGGGATACAAGGAAGGGGGTTGTACCCTCTCCAGTAGGTTTCAGTAACACCTACCAAGCCTACCAATTAGATATCAAAGATATATTTTAGCATGTATCCCTCAACATTTTCCCTTAGTCATACTTTTACCGCTACTCTAACAAACTTCTTCTCAGAACTTAGGACACTAGCTTCTTGAACTAGGAAGCTAGGATACTAGGAAAGGACGCCTTGGAATGGTAGGAGGAAATTAGATCTAGGAACGTGAGGAGAAAATTGTCGAGAAAGAAGAGAATCGATTAGGAAGGGAGAGGGGTACAAGGAGGGGATTGTACTCTCTACAGAAAGGTTAAGTAACAACTATCAAGCCTATCAATTATATATTACATATATAATCTTGACACTTCTCTGATCGGATCGGATCGGTCTTACGTTAATCGGATGGCCCAAAACCAAAATTCAATGGATTTTACCAAAGCTATTTCAGCAGACAAAACGCGATTGATTCCTCGAGCAAGAAAAATGCTTCTAATTGGCTGCCAGCAGCCAACACCCCTCTAGTTACCTATGACAGCAAAATTTCATGGGTTTGCGATATTTTCTCAGTGTTCACTAAAACCACTGCTCACGTTCATATGCACTGCGTATGAACAATTTGGGAAGCAGGCTTCAAACGAAGTCTTTAAAATAGTGTTGTAGAGAATCGTTTGTTTTAGTAAGAACTGGAAAAGACTTCTAGGTGTATTTCCGAACGACGATTAACATTTTCAGAGTCTTCGGACGCTCCGCTAACGGACATAGTCCTTGCACACACCCAATACCAGTCTCGGTTATCCTGCCATCTGCGTCTTATTCCAGATCCACCAGTACAGTACTCGCCTCTCGTCCCGCCTACCCTAATCCTCACCGTGTGCCAGTCGAGACGCTACGGGTTTCAGTAGCGCCATTCCGCCATGGACGAGGACGCGCGGAAGCTGGGGGAGTACGACACCATAGCCTTCAAGTCCGTCACTGCGGCGGCTTCCAGCTTCGTGCTCGGCTCGATCGCCGGCGCGATCGTCGCCACGTGGAGCGACGTGCCGGCGGTGGAGCGCAACGTGGCGATGCCGGCGCTGATGAAGACCGGGCGCGTGATGGGCCGCTACGGCGTGTTCTTCACCGCCGTCGGCACCGCCTTCGCCGCCGCTGACGCCATCGCGCAGGAGGCGCGCGGCACCAAGGACATCTGGAACGGCGTGATTGGCGGGCTGGCTGCGGGCGCCGTCGTCGGCGTGCAAGGTACGCTCGATCACTCGCGCGCGCGCTCGCACAGTAGCACACTAGCGCGGGCTCATGCTGCCCGTGCAAGGTCCCGCGATGGGTGGTCGCGCAGCCCGTCTGCGTGGAGCCTAACCCTGGAATTGTGTGCAGGGTCTCGTCTTTGTTGCTCTCCCCCCTCCCTTTCTCCCGTCCCCTCTCTTCCCCCCACCCCCACCCCCACCCCCACCCCCACCCCCCCCAACCCCTTCCCTCTCTCCTTCCCATTCCCTTCCCTCCCCCCCTCCCTCCCTTCCCACCCTCCCCCTTCCTCTCCCCCGCTCCCTCTCCGTCTCCCTTCTCTGTCTCTTTCCTCTCGCTCCCTCGTCCTTCCTAGTATTCAATGGTAGGGCACATGCGAGACTTTTAGCAATTGTAATCTGATTATCACAGGGAAAGTAAAATTTCCGAGATTAGCGTGGAGCCTGGGGGGCGTATGTCGATTATTGTCGGGGATTGCTGCATCTACCGGCGTCAAGGGGCCTGAGATTGTAGGGGCAGGCATGGCAGGTTGGCTACATTCGGCGCGTGAGTGCACCGTGCATGCAGACTGATGACGTGGCACTGCTGCCCATGGCGGGTTAGCAGGAACACGTCAGCAGGGAGGGAAGCAGCGCCTAGCCATTGACCCTGCCAAGAGCTAGCAGCCTCCAACGCTGGCTTGCAGTCAATGGCATGCGGTGCTAATTTCTCATGTTCTCCCCTCGACGAGTAACGTAACATCACTACGTAGTTGATAGTCATCCTTATTACCGGTATGTCTGCTGTCCCCTTGGTCGCTCTGATTGTGCAGCCAACAGCCTTCCTCTAGCAGCAGGAGCATGTGCGTCACTTGCAGCGGCATCTGCCATAGTCGATGCTAGTGGCCAAGCCACGCGTATCCACACGGGTCGGGAGTATCTTCCCTTCTCATCGCCTCCTCCCAGCAGCTCCAGTTGATTCTTCAAGTGTGAACACTTCATTGTTTGGAACTCTGCTAAACCTGTGTCACAAGACGAATACGACACCCCATTGTGTGCATGTAAATAGCTGTGTAGTTACGGGTACTACTCACAGTTGCGAAATACCATTGAGAATCAGACAAGCAGACCGAACCCACTTGGTAATCGCGTGCATATTCTTAGGAGTGAAGAATGAATGATAGGAAGTGAGAGCACAAGGAAGATATTGTTAGAGTAAGATCTGAGTGGATGACTAGAGGTAGATGTGAAAGTGAGAACTGAATGATAACTAGAAGTGGAAACCTAGAACAAGTACTAGTTGGTTGTACTCACTAGAAACATACCCGTCTAGCCTATAACTTGTACACAGCTAATATGTATAAGTTGACAGTAGAAACCTAGAACAAATACTAGTTGGTTGTACTCAATAAAAGCATACCCCAGTCTAGCCTATAACTTGTACACAGCTAACATGTATAAGTTGACACACTCCCTAGGCTAGACAAGGGGTGAAGCTAAGCAAGAAGCAAACAACTCAGGATGGCACTACTAGTCCAACCACTGAGGCAGGGGTCTGGAGACCGATCAGCAAGGGTACAAACAAGACTAAAGCAAGCTAGGGCGGCACTACTAGTCCAGCCACTGGAGGTAAGGCCACAAGGCCAGTTTGACAGGCATATATAATAGAGAGTACACAATAAGGATTCTAACAGGTGAGTAGCTACAGGAACAAGACCAAGCTGTACACAGTGCCGCTGATGATCTTTAGGCGCAAGCGCCTTAGTAAAGATATCAGCTGTGCTGGCACCAGGCAGGCCTGTCGTTATCAGGGTATTTTACCCTGATTCCCTGATTTCACAGGGTATTTTTTTGGCCAACCCTTAATTTTCAGGGTTGGGCTTTTTTGAACCCTAACCTCTTCAGGGTTGTATGTCTGTGAACACTGAGAATTTCAGGGTTTGCGTTATCCCAACACTGAGTTTTCAGGGAGTAACGCGTACGAACCCTGAGTGCGACATCCATGTGGCTCACAATGCGGAAATTTAGGCGAAGTCCCCAATCTCCAGAGACATTCCCCCCCACACGCAACAACCTACAAAAATTGGTGAAGTCCTCAAACATTCCCTCACACACCAAGCAACCCACAAAAATCGGCTAAGTCATGTGTCGTACAGACATCCCCCCTACACACTAACAACAACCCACAAAAATTAGCTAAGTCTATGAAAATGTAACGGTCAAGATCGATTGCGATCGTTTCGACATACTTAAACCGTTAGATGGTCACGTTGATCAACGTCCAAGATCTCCCAGCCGGGGCGCTGCTAGGGCGCGAGTTTTCTCCGACCGCCCTATTACCCAGCTTCCCCCCTCCAATCCACTTCGATTCCTCCCTCCCCTCCATTTTCGCTCCCCCCACTCCCCCTCCGTTTCGTTTCCCTCCTCCCCTCCATTTCGATTCCCCCATCTCCCCTCCGTTTCGCCCCTCGCATCTTGGTTTTGATTCCCTCCCCCTTTCTTCCTTGGTTTCGACTCCCCCTCCCCTCCGTTTCGATCCCCCCTTCCCCTCCGTTTCGATCCCCCCTTCCCCTCCGTTTCGATCCCCCCTTCCCCTCCGTTTCGATCCCCCCTTCCCCTCCGTTTCGATCCCCCCTTCCCCTCCGTTTTGATCCCCCCTTCCCCTCCGTTTCGATCCCCCCTTCCCCTCCGTTTCGCTTCTCCCATTCCTCGACTGTATTTCGAACTTCCCCCACCCCCCAACCCCCACTTTTTCCCTCCCCGTTTCGCTTCTTCTCTTCCCCTATGTTTCCATCCTCCCCTTCCCCTCCGTTTCGCTCTCCCCCTCCCCTCGGTTTGATTCCCTCCCCTTTTTCCCCCCATTTTTTATTCCCCCCTCGTGTTGAAGGCAACCCTGAACGCGCTCGGTGAACCCTGGGATTTTCAGGGTTCCAGATTTCTGAACCCTTACAAATCAGGGTAGGCAATTTTTGAAACCTGAGCCCTCAGGGTAAACGTTTTTTTTTATTCGACAGCTCAGGGGGGGTTTTTTTGAAACGTCAGCCCTGGCACCAGGGCCTCAGATATCAGGATGTTTTATCCTGAATTCCTGATTTTCAGGTTGCCTGTTAGGTGCCAAACCTGAAAAATCCGTTTAAGCTCATTTTTCACCCTGTGAATTCAGTTTTAAATCATAGTGCAACCCTGAGGATTCAGTAAAGTGTTCGTGTACCAGCCCTGAGCTGTCAGTATGCCTTCGGGGACAACCCTGATTCTTCGAATCTTGAATGCACGTGCGCCACTAGGGTAGCCCTTGCCTCGAATTTTACATTTCGGCTAAGTCCTCAAACGTCGCAACAGCCCTCCGAAAACCCCCGAAAATTGGCTAAGTCCTGAAAGTTAGAGACAATCCTCGGAAACCCCCCCGCTGCTCTAAAATTTCGGCGAAGTCCTAAATGTTAGAGACAATCCTCCCCTCGCCCCAACCCCTACTCACTAAAACTTATCGGCTAAGTTCTCCCTGCCATAGACATACTTCTACAACTTCTATGCAGCCCTGAAATTATGGCTTAGTCCTTATAGAATTCGTGATGCCCAGGTTACGTCGATTCAAAATCTCGTCAAGTACTGCAACTCAGGGATTATTCGTCACGTTTGTCAAGTACTTCGTGGCTAATTTTATAAGTTTTTCCACGGTCAAGATTACAACAAATTCAGATGATCCTGCACATTGAATTGGGAAACAGAATGACTTGCCATAAAGTGTGCCACATGCGAGGAATGCGCCCTCACCATCCAGCCTCGTCAAACGCCGTCATAACCGCTCGATGGAAATCGAACTGCAGTTTTTTTAACGCAACTTTTCGTTTCTTGTCTTTGACTTCATCAGAGTTTTCAGGGGCTGCATTCGCTTTAAGCTGAACGCCCATTCGGTCTCAGCAAAATTCTGTCTGACAGTCAGACGAAGAAAAACTTTCTGGTCTGATTACCTCGTGCGCTACAGTTGACGCAAACTCGACCACTCGTGCCACAACCCATCACAACGCGTGAAGCCAAGTGTGCTGCTGCTGCTGTTTAGAGTGACTTCTAAGATGTCAAGCGTTTGAGAATTTACCCTGAGGCCAAAGTATAGAGCGGAGAACCACCCTGAGGAATCAGTCTGAACATAAGCCACCAACCCTGACTGCTACACGTTTTTTTGGGGGACCGCCCTGATTGATCAGTATGCCTAAAATCCTATCTGAGGCCCTGGTTGGCACCTGAGGCCAACTGAACTACGCGGGCCTGGCGGCGCTGCAGTAGCTCGCGCAGGAGGAAGTACCGCAGCTGGATATGCTTCGCTCTGCCCTCAAGCCGAGGCTCCTGACAGAGGAGTATCATGGCCCTGTTGTCAGCGTACAGGACCAGGGCAGAGCTAGGCCGCTCACATAAGTCAGTGAGCAAGAAGGTCAGCCAGCGGAGCTCCTGTGCCGCCATGGCACCAGCGTAGATCTCAGCCTCACAGCTGGATTGAGCCATAGACGACGAGCGAGTGGATCTCCAAGAGATAACACCCGAACCAAGGCTAAAACAGTAGCCCTGCGACGACCTGAGCGTCTCAGAGTCGTCTGCCCAAGAAGCGTCTGTGTGCCCAGTGAGGACCACTGGCCTGCGTCCTCCTAGCACTAACCCCATGCCCGATGTACTAGCAAGATAACGCAAAACTCTCTTAGCGGCAGACTAGTGCTGAGGTCGGTGTCTGCTTGTAGCCACAAAGCGAGCCAGGATGCTGAGAGGGTATGCGAGATCTAGGCGAGTGCAAGTCATCAGGTACATGAGGCAACCCACCAGCTCTGCGTAGGGGCCACTGGGCTCTACGAGCTCCTCTGGAACGGGAGCGGAGAGCCCATGGTCTACAGGTAGAGGTGTGGGCTGTGCGGAGGAGAACTGAAGACCAAACCTCTGAAGGACCTGACGCACCAAGTGTGGCTGTGTCAGAGTGATGGTGCGTGCTGCTCTGTCCCTAGAGATCTGCAGGCCAAGGTAGCGACACAGCTCTCCAAGGTCAGTGCAGGTGTGTCTCTTCAGCAGCTCGGCCTTCACAGAGGCCAGTGCGTCCCTGTCAGCAGTAGGGAAGACCAGATCGTAGACAAGGATGTAGAACGGAGTCTGGCCAGAACGCACAAACAGCGAGGGGTCAGTAGAGGACGGAAAGAACTGCAGGTCTGCTAACGTAGCCCGCAGCATGTCGTGCCACTCACGAGGAGCCTGACGCAGGCCGTAGACCGGGCGCCTGAGAAGCCACTGGGTCCCAGGGGGGAAGGTAGTAGTGAAACCCTGTGGTCAGCGCAGGTCGACCTGCTCGTGTAGGCTGCTTTGGAGAAAGGCAGTAGAGAAGTCGAGGGAGTGAAGCTCGTAGTCGCGCTGTGCTGCTACGTGTAGCAGCGCCCGAAGAGTGGTCATCTTCGGGTTCGGGGCGAAGGTCTGGAAGAAGTCAACCCCCTCGCGCTGACTGAAACCTCTGGCCACGTAGCGCGCCTTGAAGACCGGCGGCTCTCCAGGGGGGCGCTTCACCTTGAAGAGCCACCGACCATCGACTACGTTCACCCCAGGCAGGGGAACTGCGTCGACGTAAGTGCCGGTGGACCTCCAAGATGCCATCTCCTGCTCCATGGCAGCTATCCACTGAGAGGCCCAAGGTCCCGAGGTGGCCTAAGCGTAGGTGCGAGGGGTCGGGATGTCGAAGGGGTCGGGATGTCGAAGGGGTCTGGGTTCCCCTCAGGGACTAACAGCATGGAGCAGAGATGGGGAGCAGCTTCAGAAAGGAAAGCAAGCTCGTACTGCCTGTCTTCTAGGACGTCATTGCCAAGGGCAGGAGCACCCCCGACGGACGGAGGACGGGCAGGGTCAGAGACCAGAGCGGTAGCGTAGTCAAGGCGGCGGGTAGAGGCAAAGTCAGCGACAGCAGCGACAAGCGCGTCAAGGCGCGAGGCAGGAACAGCAGGGTCGGTAACAAGAGAGGCAAGGACCCGAGGGACAAGGGGACGAGCGGCACGGAGGTAGTTAGAGAACGGAGGAGGGGCAACAGCAAGGGACGAGGGAGGAGGGGACGGGAGGAGGGGAGGACGAGACGAGCGGGAACGGAGCAACATAGGGTGGGTGGGCAGGATAGGAGAGACGGGATAGG